TGAGTGTGGTGAACTGAAGAGGAGAAGCACCGTCATGGAGCTGGGAATCTGAAGGATCTGGAGTGATTCTGGATGAAGGAATTGTCTCTGATCTCTTGTCAGATGCTCGCTAACCTCATCAGGCATTATAGGAGAAAACTCAGAGCTGTTATTATGCCAAATGGAGGTTTCAAAAGCATTGAATAAAAGGGTGCCGTTAATTGTGTCCAATGTGTATTAGAGAAAAACATTTGTCATAATGATATTTCCCCCCCCCATTTTAAATTCTTATTCTCCAATGAAAGGTTAGATTTATGTGAATTTTTTAAAATAAAATATCAAAATGATTAACAATGCGGATTTATTTTCACAGCCGTCTTTGATCATATTTACCAATGGTGCCAATAATTCTGACCACGACTGTATTTATTTGATTTGGGGCTTGTTTTAAAATTTCAATTTAGTTTTGTTATTTACATTTACATTATATTTAAATTTGGTCATTTACCAGATGCTTTTATCCAAAGCGACATACAAATGAGGACAATAGAAGCAATCAACACCAACAAAAGAGCAATAATATGCAAGTGCTATATTAGTATATTATTATAGTGTTATATTTCAATTTCACAAAGAAATGTGCAGCATTTTGTCCAAGCAATAATAAAAGGACACATTTAATTTATAATTTGCCTTAAATCTAATTTTGTTAAAAAAATCGTGAATCGAATCGTAAAATCAAAATCGTGAATTGTGAGTTGAGTGAATCGTTACATACCTATTCTCTATGGAGGGTCTGAAAGCTCTCGGATTTCATCAAAAATATCTTAATTTGTGTTCTAAAGATGAACAAAGGTCTTACGGGTTTGGAACGACATGACATTTTCATTTTTGTGAACGAACCCTTTTGCATGGCTGAAGTATAGAGTGCAAGAGTATTGAGTATTTTTCCCCCTTAGAATGAACCAGTTATTAGTTATGAACCAATCTAACTAGCAATGGGGTGAATTACAAAATTATAGACTTTGATTTGAGGCAAAAAAAAAGTATTTGAAAACTGGACAAAACAGAACGGTACAAGACAGTAATTAACAGATTTTATGAGAGAAAGAACTTGATAGATAGATAGATAGATAGATAGATAGATAGATAGATACATACATTTATCTTATGGAGAAAATGAATGGGATTTTTACTTCAGAATCTGACTGTTGTACTCTATTCCTACTTATTACAGGTATTACTCTTTTATGTTTACCCTTAGATCAGTAGGTTTCTATTAACTTTAAAAGTTTGATTTCAGTTGGACTAAAACAATAATTCTTCTTACTTCAAAGACAAAGCTGACGCGTAATGTGTATTTAATCCTTCAAATATTAGACTGAGCAATGTCTTGTACGTAGACAGACGGATGAAGGCTGTGGTTTGACTACAAAACCCCCCACTGTTGCTCCATTATAACTGTAGAAATATTTTCAAATGTCACTTTCTATTTATCTCTTTTTTTTTTTTATCTTCAGAGTCTCCCAGATCTGTCTCTTGCTTATTTAGACTTAGACTCCAAGAGACAATTGGATCTACAAGGCAGAGGTAGCCATCACTCATATTAGTTTGTAAACAGTGTGTGTTGAATAATTTAAGTTGCTGTGCCATATAACATAAAGGTGGTTGTAGACATACTTCTCTGGATGTATTTTTCTAGGGCTCTATACCTGTGATGATTCCAGAATCAGGCCTACGGATCCTAAACAGGGCCACTGGGGGGCACCACAGGGCTCTCACTCCCCTTTCCTACCTTCAGGTGTTCCCATGGTACACCACTCCATTCTGCACCACCAAGCACCCCCAGCTGGAGAGTCAACGTATGACACTCTGAGTTTGGAGAGCTCTGACAGCGTGGAGACCAGCGTATCTACTGGCAACAACTCCGCCTGTTCACCTGAAAGGTGAGACACAGTTGTCAAGGGAACCCTTCGTTCTGCCTCCATTCCCCTGACAACGGGTCACGCTGCCCAATTTCCCCATAAATGTTTTTTTTTCATCCTTTTCCCAGAATAGTTCCTGGGTTGTTTCCATGACAACACATACATCGACACAAAGAGACACGCTATTCTTCTCGTCTTCAAAGTTTGGTCTTGTCCCGAGGCAGAACGAGCACAGAATGTCATTTTAAAGTATGTGCTCCTTGGAGCCAGGGAGGCTTCAGGTGTTTCGTCAGATGTTGAAGTCATGAAAAAACATTCTCTTGATGTTGCCCTACTTTTCAGCATCGATAGTCTGGACGAGAATCTTTGACCATGCATTCTTACATTTCGGTTAGATGTTTCAGCAGTTTTAAACTCCTGCAGCCCTGCTCACCCTCGATCAACCTTTTCCTTTGAGCTGGTAAACGAGGTCCATTTAAAAAGCATGTAGGTCCTTACTTAAAAGTGAAATAGGAAAAAATCACATACTCCTGACCCAGCAGGAAGGAGCATGATGCACATGATTTTTAATTTTTTAACCTGTGGCAAAAACGTGGTTGCCTAGGGCTTAGGAAAGATGTAGCCTGTAATATTCAGTAGAATTTGAATGAAGGCTGTTGTGATCTGTCTTGAGTGAGCACTCAGGCCCGCAGTGTCGTCTTCTGCCACTGGAAGCACCGCAGCAACAGTAACCGCGTGTTTCTCCCTTAGCAGCAATGGGCTGGCAGGACTGAGGCTGGAGGAGATGGAGAAGATGTTGAAGGAGGCCCAGCAGGAGAAAGCCAGACTGGTAGAGAGTCGAGTGAGTACCATTAATCTTTAATTGTCTGTGAAATATAATCTATCCCTCTCCCTGTCTCTCATATAAAAGAGATATTTTTCATGAATTTAAAAAGGAAGCCCCTGGTCCCTTTGGCATTACTGCATTAAAGATTGTTTCTTACCTACAAAGAGTGATAGACATGAAAGGCTGGATCTTAACAAGCTCTCCGACAGTAATACTCACTCAGACAATCTCTTGCTGAATAATTTTTTCATGCATCCCCAGTCACCCCGCACCGCACTGTGTATTTTATGTATTTGTATGTATTTTTTT